TCCTTGTAGTAAAAGGAATACTACGAGTAATGAGCTAATACTTAAAGTAATTAAGCTGATTGATACTGATCTAATGTGAAGTTGGAGGTAGCTATCAGAAAACTTATGAATACTGCTACAAAGTAGCCAGGTAACAACTAACTCACGACTTAGCTGACAGAACCTCGAGAGTATCCTCCAACACGTCCTCACGCTACGAACGCTCGACCAAGACTGCCTGTTGCTGAACTGTTGCTGTAGTTCTTGATCTTGCCAAGGCATTCAATGCAGCCACGCGCAAACTCTATTGAAACTAAGATCCTATGGAATAGGAAGTTCTCCTGCAATGAATCAGAAACTTCCACATTGATCACAAACAGTCCTAGAGAATGTGTCAACTTCCAACTGGATGCCTGTGAGATCTCAGGCTCCTCAAGAGTCAGTCCTAAGATCCCTCTTGTTCATACTTTTCAATGAAATACCTCTCAACATTGAGAAGCATTTCTTCACATATTTACCTGTTTGTTGATGATTGCATCTACTAGGTATACAAAGCTGACAGCACCCTGTTGCAGCTGGACGTAAATACACCTCACCAACGGTAACAAGAAATGACAGTACAAGGTTAAGTCAGAAAAATGCCTAGTGCTCAGCATACATACGAAAGAGAATCCCAAACACAAACAATATGGCCCAGACAGCATTCCCCTTGAGACATTAAGTTCCATCAGATCTAAGCATGACTAAAACTAAGAACCTAGACTAGGCTAAACCCAGTTAGTGATCTCCAAGGTTGATAATATCCTGGATCTGCCAGGAATAAATCTAAGCAAGGCCTCTCCAGAAGTGAATATGACTATATATGTCCTTTATTAGAACCATCAAGGGGTATGCCTTGAACATCTGGGACCCACATGAATTTGCTTGAAAAAGTCTAGAAACAAGCAGTTTCTACTCTGTGACATCAGCTGGCTATGGACTCTGTCACACCAGTGAAGACACCCAAATGGGAGACATGAGAGACTAGACATAAAAAGGTTTTGCTAGTTTGATTGCATAGGCTATTGTGTGATAGACCCCAGCTGAACCATGACTGCAAAATTTGCTTAGTGAAAAAAAAAACAAAACAGGAAGGACTCTTGATGCTCAAATAACTGCTTTCCTGAAAAAACTGGGTACAGGAACAACTTCTTCCCTAGAACATTGATTTACTGGGATGATATCTTTAACAAAATCCAGTCCTACCAAAGAAACCTTTACAAATAATCTCCACCCTATACCTTCAAGAAGGCTAAGTCTATGGCCATCCCATCTCCCTCTTACCCTGTTAACCTAGAACAGATGTGAAACCCAGCCAGACCACTTGCTTTTAAATAATGGTGTCACAAGTAGTGCCAAGTCTGACATCCTATTACATATTCCTTGTTCAGTGTTTTCCACATGAGTTATGCAAATTCCCACTTGACTCAGGCACCCATGCATGAGGAACATCCTATGCAGAAGGGTCAAAGTCAATTGGAAAATCATCCACTGAATCACTCAACTGAAAAGCACAATTTTTTCAAAACAAGGTCAAGTTTCACAGAACATCCTACCAGCAGCTGACTTTCAGGGAAACCAAAAGTAAGAGGAAACTTGAAGTAAAGCAGGAAGAAAGGAAGGGGAAAGGAACAATAAAAAAATGCCCCAGCAAACCAAAAAGCACTGTTCTGGATGATAGCAGAGAAAAGACAATTCATAACTTTCTGGGGAGGAATGAGTCTACTTCAATTGCAACAAACTTCAACAGACGTTCCCTGTTAGCCTCAGATCTTATTCACAGAACATACAAAGTGTTCTGATGTCTTCCTTTCTTTTTCCCAATTGTACATTTTGCATGAAGATTAATGAAAACCCAGAAGAGGATGTATGGTATTGCAAATGATACCACATGATGCAAATGACATGGAATATGGTCATGTTCTACAAGAATTCAAGCATTTACTAGGAGTTGCTATTTCAAATTGAATGAATTTCCTGATACTTTGATGTAAAACACTAAGAGGGTTTTATACAGGGTGCTCAAAATGATGGCAGTCCCAATGTGCAGCAAGCAGGCTCAATGATTTCTATAAACAACTTCGTTTCTGAATTAAAGATTCATTTGTAAGTCATGACACAATTCATCATAGGCTATTGGTACTATTCACTGATTCTGAGGCTATGAGACCACCATGTGGCTAGGGTGGGACAGTAAAGGAGAGAAGAAAAGTTTTGTACCCTTTGCTAACTACGAAGCACCTCTCAGGTGAACTCGAGCACATATCAACTGAAAAATTGCTTCTTAGCAGATCAAGCACTAAATGGCATGACTGCAGTTGTACTTTATGACATGATGGGAGATTAAAAATGGAAAAAGCAATTAAGAAATGGTCTTTTAATCATTGCCCTATTCGGCTGCAGATTGGTACTACTATTTTCAAACAATGTAAACTTCATAGGGCACCTACAGGCTCAAAATTAAATATTACTTGGCTTTTCAGTGTAAGATTGGATTTTACCTTTTATGGAATCCAAATTCTTCTTTCAGGCTTGTGAAAGGGCAAACTGAAGCAGCAGGCCGAGGAATCACAGGAACAGGGGTGGGGGAATGATTCCTGCTCCTTTTTCTCATTAACAAAGCCTGCAATTGATTACCACATGATTTATTTATCTTTTCAAGAAACCTTGTCCCATTTTGTTTGCTTTGAAACCTCTCTTTACAAATGGATATGTCCTGGTTGTTTTTGAGAAACCAGCATTTTAGCAGTCACATTAGAATAACTTATCACCAGCTTCAGCACAGGCAAATGTTAATCCTCATCAAGTAATTTCCCCAGCACAAAAATACATACCCTCTCCAAACTACAGAGCTTATCACTATTCAAATATTCATATATCTCCTATTCCACAACATCAAAACATCCTTTCTGGTCTCAGGTGGACCAGGGCATACTCTGACCTTCCACAAAAGTGAAGGATTTGTTGCATTTGTTCCCATATTGAGTCCTCAGCCAAGAGATTGATTGTGATTGACTTATGTTTCATGAATTTTCCAATTAGGAGTGGAGAGGGATATCATCCAAATGCAATGAACCAAAAAGCTATTCGATAAATAAATCTGGTCATGAAATCAGGATTTCAATACCTTGCATCCATCCCTACAGTCACATTTTTCGTTGTCTCAAGTTTATCTTGGAAGGCCATGAAGAGCAATTCTGGTAAAGTGGGTAAGATGAACACAAAATGAAATGTGCAAATGTTTTATTCTGCAACCAAATCCATTACAACTCTGAAAATCAGCCCTGAAGGTCACTTACATCTCTTATGGATGAACACAGAATAGATAAATAAATATTAACACAAAAAATGAATATCTCCCATAGCCATGGTCTCACATCTCCCTCTCATCATGCAGGGATTCAAAGCATCATTTATCTTTTTATAAATTTTTTTTGGCATGAATAATACCCAAACTGAATATAAAGGTCCACTGAAAATCAAATATTCTCCTCAATTATATGACAGCAATGTTGCCACCTAAACCCAACCAAGTGATCCTGTAGGAGGTCCTGAGATTTCCTTTATGCAGAATGCTCTAGAAGAGGTGGCAGAACTTCACACAGCATCACTTCAATTCTTGATGGTTGTATTATCCATCAGATTGGCAATGTTTTCTGGAGTCAACTCCCTGATGCAGGTAACTTGAAAAGGAAAAAGGGTTTGAATCAATTGCCAGGAAAACTTTAAATCTCCATGTTAATCATAACAGGGCATAGGTTACTCACTCATAAATTTTAGGCAATAAATTTTAATCTGTCAATCCATTTGTATCTACAGATACAAATCTACGTTCCTTGAATCCATGTTAAGATATGACTTGGTTGGGAGTAATTCAATCTCTCCTGCCAGCCAAGAAGTATCAAATTTTGAGCATTCTACAGGTTTCCAGTTTCTGCCCATCCTCAGGTTGAGTCAGGGCTGATCCAAAGACACTTGTATCTCCATAGATTCACCTTCATCTCATCTCCATGTTTCCCAAAAAGGGCCTGCCTAGGTTATATTCCTCTTGTCCTGGCACCTCATCATCACATCATCTCATGAACAAAATTTGCCCAATCAACTATTGTCAGCTAGGAAATTTTGCCTGTCCTCCAATTTTTTAAAGCAGAAAAACCACTATTAACTAAAAAAAAAAAAAAAAAGGCTAACTCAACCCTTCGAGGAGTATGCCCATAAATAAAAGTTTTTAAAGTTTTAATGAAATTTCAATTTCAAGTCTTTTTTGTTTAAATTACCCTTTTGGTATTATTTTTTGCTTATCATGTACTACAATTAACAATTATTTACCACTATTTGATCAAAATCTTTCTGCATATATTTTGCTGAGGGATCTCAATGAATTTTTCTTTCAAAACATCCTAGGAGCATGAAGATTGAAACACTGGAAGAGGAGGTGCAGTACCTTCTCAGTCTCATTCAGTGCATAGCAGTCAACATCTTGATATACTAAGAGTGGCAGCTCCAAGGTGAACTTTTTGTTCTTGCATCTACCATGTCTTGCAAGAATGATGTCAAGGTGCCACTTCTCTTCTTGATTCTGTCAGAAAACCAGTCAAGAAATATGATTATGAATGTATAAGTTATGAATAAATAAATGTATCAAATTTATATTTGAAAATACTTGTTCCATAAGTCCTAAGTCAAAATATAAGTACCCCCAATTGGGCCACTTCAGAATAAACTTACATTATGTTATAAGGATAAAAGCTGTCAAGAATATATCTCTCACCTTAGACAAAGTTGTGCATTGCAGACATCACACATCCTTTCATATTGGCTTTATTGGCTTTGATATTGGCTTTGATATTGGCTCAGGCTTCTCAAAAAACTGGAAAGACATTCCTCAATGGATAGCACCCCCTATAGGACTTGGGATCTTCCCCTTAATCTTCTCGACACTGGAGCCCACATTGACAAGTTCCTGCCCCCCCTTCCTCCCCCCAGTCCCTCCTCACCTTTTCAAGGAGCATAAACTTTTAGCAAGTCCCTTGAAATTTCTAGATCTTGCTCCCCATTATGATATGAGATAGAGGGCAGCAGATTTCAATCTCCTCTGATCCTCTTCACCCTCCAGTAGTGCTAAGAACAGGGTGCCTGTAGCCTTGGCAGACATTACAACATTGGGCAGTTGACCCTTATCCTCTGAATTTCTCTATGGCCTCCAGCAATTCATTGTTTGATGATGGGCATATAATTATATAAGAAATATTATAACAGTTAATTTTGCCACATTCAACTGTGTCTGAGAACCCCCTCATACAAAAGCATGAGAGAGTTCTCTTCTCAAGAATCCAAGAGGACCCAGTTAAGTGTGCAGATTTGCAGCTATATTTTTCATGTCCTTAACATCTGGTAAATGTGCTGTGCAAAAACTGTATTGCCACAAAATATAAATGGCCTGGACCCTTAACATGTATCATAGAGGGATGCTATCATGTAAAGCACACAATGGCAATTAATCTGGTATGCACTTTGGTATTGTGGAATAGGGGATTACCTTCAAGGTTTTGATTGGTAAGATAGCTGTACTGTAGCTGGTGGGGTACAAGTTTGTGTGGTGGGGGAAATCCACTTTTATTAGGGTACATAATTTCATGGAGGAGTACCCACTTAAAGATTATTCCAGTGCATCAAATAATTGCATCAACCAGCCATATCAGGTGGTTCACCCTCATACGTTTGCACAGGTGCATCCTAATCCTTAAACTCATCCCAAGTCAGGATGGTGAATTGCAATCAAATTAACAGGGTTAGACTAATGGCCATGGGGCCCCTCTGGAAATATTCTAAAATAAATGAGTGCCCCTAGAACAATGTGAATTTTGAAATAATTGCACCATAGTTATTAATCATTTCTATACCTTTACACGAATTGGCAGTGCTCATGGAATCAATATCAGTGCATGGTCACTAGTTGCAATCAATGTTCATTATGCTTCCACTTATAATTTTTCATTAGTTATAGGGGCCCCCAGGAAATTTCCTGATATTCCGGTGGACTAGCCAGACTCTAAGAATTATAAACTCCTGCCATTCGCCTTGAAGACTAGGCGTATAACTCGCTACTTATTTTCCTTCAAATCGCAATCCTCCGGCTTAAATTTGACATAAGCGTAACGTTAGACCTTAGCTTGAAGCTATGAAAGGCTCATCGTTGGATTAAACAGAGCGTTTTAATCCTTGCCAGTAGGAATAACACTGCACCATAATAAAGGCGGTAAAAATTCACGAAAACCACTTTCGCATTGAAAGCCAGGACGGGCTCTCCAGAGAAGAGCATGGCTGTCAGGGTTGCCAGATTTTTGCCGTGGTGGCCGAACAGGCAACTTTTCGCGTTGGTGGTGGTTTCTTTGCGAAATGCAACAACGTTTCTCTTTGGGTTTGTCTGCCTATCTTTCCGGTGTCGCGTGATATTTTTCCCCTTCCTTTTTTTTCCCCATGGGGAAAAATATCATAGGATTTTCTTCCCCATGGGGAAGAACATAATATGATATTTTTCCCCTGAGGACAAACCTCATATGAGGTTTTTCCCCCCTTTGTGAGAAATCTCCCCCCCCCCCTGCCAGGCCTGAAAAGTGGGCGGTGTTGAGCGGGCGAGAACTGTAACTGACAAGTTGACAATTGACATTAAGCTCTGTTTTGACATTTGAGAATAAGCTTTGTCTTCAAAAGATTTATTTGATTGGGATGAATGAGAAGTTGACAGTTGACATTTGACAAGAAGCTGTGTCTTCAAAAGATTTTATGATAATGGTAACTGATAAGTTCGCACAATAAGTTACGATAAGTCCTGTCTTGAAAATATTTCTATGATAATGATAACTGACGTTTTGTGCTCTCATGGGAGGAGTA